TGTCCACTGGGATAACCGGAGCACTGGGTGTGGCCAAGGGCACTGTCCAGACTGGGATGGACACCTCCAAGACGGTTCTGAGTGGCACCAAAGACACCATGTCCACTGGACTCTCCGGGGCTATCGGTGTGGCCAAGGGTGCTCTCCAGACTGGCATGGACACCTCCAAGAAGGCTCTGATTGGCACCAAAGACACAATGTCCACTGGACTCTCTGGGGCATTGGGTGTGGCCAAGGGCGCTGTCCAGACTGGCATGGATACTACCAAGGCCGTCCTGACCGGCACCAGAGACTCCATGTCCTCTGGGGTCACCGGGGCATTGGGTGTGGCCAAGGGCACCATCCAGATAGGTATGGATACCACCAAAGTTGCTATGACTAGCACCAAAGACACTGTGTCCACTGGGCTCACTGGAGCATTGGGTGTGTCCATGGGAGCCATCCAGACTGGCACGGACACCTCCAAGACCATATTGACCTGTACCAAAGACACCGTGTCCACTGGACTCTCCGGGGCATTAGGTGTGGCCAAGGGCACCGTCCAGACTGGGATGGACACCACCAAAACAGTTCTGACTGGGACCAAAGACATTGTGTCCACTGGGCTCACTGGGGCTATGGGTGTGGCCAAAGGTGCCATCCAGTTAGGTATGGACACCTCCAAGACCTTACTGACCGGTACCAAAGACATAGTGTCCACTGGGCTCAATGGAGCAATGGGCGTGGCCAACGACGCCATCCAGCTAGGTGTGGACACTTCCAAGGTTGTTCTGACTGGCAACAAAGATACAGTGTCCACTGGGCTCACCGGGGCATTGGGTGTGGCCAAAGGGGCTATGCAGTCTGGTCTGGGCACCATCCAGAATTGGTTACCTGGTACCGAAAACACCTCCTGGGGTGGACTCATCCATGACAGGGCCCCAGACAAATGTGGGAAACAAACTCTCCCAAATCCTCCAGAGGCTCCAGATACTCTCTGTGCAGGCCTGGACCTTGTTTCTGCTGTGGCACCATTCACGCAAGGGGCTGCCCTGGGCAAGGAAGATGCAGGGCCCATGGCCACCCCAAGCAGCCATGAAGGAGCCATGGTCTTTGTGACACTCCGGGACGAGCTGGAGGAGCTGGGTGAGATCTTCCACCCCATGAGTGCTGAGGAGCAAGGTGAGAACAGGACGGGCTGGGCCCCAACACCCAGTGGGGGCTTGTCGTCTCTCCAACCCCAGCCCTGGACGCCACTAGTGGCCTCTCAGATTAAGTAATCCCATCTTTCCTTGCAGCTCAGCTGGCGGCCTCTCAGCCTGGGCCCAAGGTGCCCGCGGCCGACCAGAGCAGGTACTTCGTGCGTCTAGGCGACCTGGCCCCTGGCTTCCGCCAGCGGGCTTTTGAGCATGCCCTGAGCCACCTGCAGCACAGCCAGTTCCAGGCCAGGGATGCTCTGGCCCAGCTCGAGGACTCTTTCAGGCTGGTAAGTATTCCCCTTCCTGGGCGCCTTCCTCCGAATATCTCCCCATGGCTTCCCCACCTGCGTGTAGTGACCTGACAAATATTTACTGGGCACCTTGTTGACAATGTCCATGGGCCACTAAGACGACCACAGACTGCTCTCATGGGGCTTTTGTCCCAGAGACAAAGACAGACAACCAGACCACATATAGTCATCCCGACTTATCTGCGGGAGATGCATTCCAAGACCCCCGTGGATGCCTGAAACCACAGACAGTACTGAACCCTATATATGGTTTTTTCCTGTATGTACATACCTATGATAAAGTTTAATTTATAATTTAGACACAGTAAGAGATTTTAACAAAATAAAACAATTTTAACATACTGTAATAAAAATGGTGTGAAGGTAGCATTAGGTAAAATGAGGGTGACTTGAACACAAGCGCTATGTATGATACCCCGAAGGTCGATCTGCTAACAGACGGCCACTGTGTGACTGACGGGCAGGAAGCTGGACAGAGGAATGAGTCTCGCCCCGGGTGGGACAGAGCAGGGTGATGGGAGATTTCATCACACTATTTAGAATGACACGCCATTTAAAACATAAATTGTTTACACCTGGAATTTTCAATTTGATATTTTTGGACCATGATTGACCACGAGAACTGGAACCATGGAAAGTAAAACCATGGATAAGGGGGGACTGCTGTACTTACAAACAACGGGGAAGCAAAGAAGGAAACAAGACAGCTGTGCGGAGAGGCCCTGGGCGGGGCAGGAGGGCGTAGATGCCAAGGAGAGAGCTGCGCAGACTTGGGGAGTGCACGGATGGGGAGAAGTGGGGAGCACAAGAACAAGCTGGGTGTGCTCAGCAGCTGGAAGGCAGCCAGGGTGCAGGTGGAAACAGGGTAGGGGATCTGGGGTCCAGTGATTTGCAAAGGGTGATGGGGTGTAGGCGTGAGGTGAGGTCTGAGATCCTGGGGACAGACTGAGCAGACCATGACGAGTTGGTTTTATCGCACAGGCACTGAGGAGCCATGGGAGAGGTTTAAGCTGGGGTGGGGGGTGTAGGTGACACGATCCCTCTGACACTGTTATTTGATCTCCCTGAAGACCTCATGGGGAATTTGGATTATTGCCTCTTTACAAGAGAAGCCAAGCCCATTGTGGCACAGCTGGCTATAAATTTGTGGTCTTTCTACCACTCCATAAAAAGGTCTAGATCCAGGATCTGGGCCAGGCCTAGGAGTGCCCACCCCAGTCCCTCACCTCCCCAGGGAGATAGAGTGTGAAAGGTCCCTGCCAAGAGCAGTCATTTCTCTGCTGGGCTCTCTTTCCAGATTGAAAAGGCTGAGCAGTATCCAGAAGGGCAGCAGCAGCCATGTCCGGGCCTGAGCAGTGGAGCAGACAACACTGGTACCCGAGAGGTGCGTACGAGGCCAAGGCCAAGGCTCCCAGGGTCTTCTCCCCTCCAGCCCCCGCTCACCTCCCTCCCTCCTTCCGCAGGTGCCCGATGCAGAGGCTCTGTCCAGGGCCTGTGGCCTTATCCAGCAGCTCCACATGGCCTACAGCAACCTGGCCTCTGGCCTCCAGGGCCTCCCTGCCGAGCTCCAGCAGCGGATCGGGCGGGCACGGCACAGCCTCTGTGAGCTCTACGGCCTCATGTCCTCTGCCAGCTCCATCTCAGAACTGCCGGCCGAACACCTGGCCCAGAGCCGGGGTGGCGTAGGCCAGGCCTGGCGAGGGCTGGAACAGCTGCTGGAGAGTGTGCAGCACAGCCCCCCACTCAGCTGGCTGGTGGGGCCCTTTGCCCTGCAGCCCGGTGGGCAGCAGCTGTAGGTCCCCGTTGGAGCCTCCCCAGACCCAACTCCCCGAAGCTCTGGGCCCTGCTGGCTGGTGCTGGTCATGGCACCAAGGTCTTTCTCTGGGCCTGCACTGTCCACCTTTCTTTCCCAGCAAGACTGGCCCTGCTCCTGGCCTGGAGACCAGGGTTGCTAAGACCGATGACAGAGGGCCTTCACTTGAAGATTCTGAGAAAGCACTCCAGTCAGGAAAGAGAAGTGGAATGTGCCTAAGTTTAGAAGGTTCTCCATTCAGCAGCCCCCACTAGGAGCCCCTCTCTTTGGGGAAGGGGGACCTTCTGCCCCACCATCCTGCCTTTTCTGCTCACCCACCTGCCTGCCCCAGCAGGGTTGATCCTAGAGAGAATCCCAGGGCTAAGGTTCTGCGGTCCCTGAGACACCTGGGCCCAGAGGCTGCCAATGGCGGAACAAATGGGCTTCCCCACAGGGAACAAGGCCCTAGGGCAACGGTTCTCAACCTTTCACAGGGGTTGCCTAAGACCATCGGAAAACACATATTTTCGATGGTCTTAGGAACCGAGACATCGCTCCTCTATCCGTCTCCAGGCCCACATGCAGATACGCCCACATACGAGTACCCAGTGACCCCTGTGAAAGGGTCATTCGCCCCCCAAAGGGGTCACGACCCACAGGTTGAGAACTGCTGCCCTAGGGCATTATGTAACAAAATGTGCTCAACGATCAATTGATCGTTAAGGTCTTGGTCATGCACTCCAGACTGGAGACCATGATGTCAGGGTGCCCCTGCCTTCCCAGCTAGAGGTCCAAGCCCCCCACCCACTCCTGCACCCCACTCTACCATGTGAAAACTCAGGATGTTCATCTAAGAAACGCTCCCTCACTGGCCTTGCCCTTTTTCCAGATGGGAGCTGTACATTAGAACACCAGCAGCCCAAGCCGTGTCAAGCCCCCGCCTTCCCAGAGCCCGCACCATGCCGACAGGCTCCCCCAACACGGCACCTTCTTCTCAGAAATGACCAGGTGCTCCAAGCTCAAGGACAAAGGGTCCAGGTCTCCCCAAAGGTCACCACGGATGCCAGCATCTGCACTGGGGGGCTGGCACCTGGCGCGACATGGGAACAAGTTAGGGAAACTTCTGAGTCTTTCCTTCCTCGGCCTCCATTGGGTAAGGTTATCAGAGGTGGTGACACTAGGAGTATAGCTATTTGCAGAAACCCAGCACAGTGACTTGATTTCAAGTCTAGTCAAAGCAAGTGGGGTGCGACCCTGCCACACCATGGTCTCCCTCTCAGCTGGGATGGATGGACTTGGCCAGGGCAGGGGGACACACAGGTAAGGCCAATGTTTAACCAGTGCCTGGCTGGGAGCCACACACACATCCCCCTACTGAACCCACGTGAGGCTGGGGTCATCCCCTATCCAGGTGAGCAAGGAGAAACCCAGAGTGGGAGTGCCCCTTGCCCAAGGTCACCCAGCCTGTCCCCACTGCTTACGCTCTCTAAACATGTAAAGACAGCAGGTGGCCCACAGCATACTTCCTGAATGGCCTGAATGCCCCAAACTGGCGCTGCCAAAGACTCTGGGTCTTGTCTCAGGGGACCCAGGGCCACCTGCAACTTGGAAAGACAGGAAATAGCTGACTCAGTGGAGCAAGGCAGCAGCTTCCAGGGGAAACATGGTGGTCATGGTCCCAGCCCTGCCCTCCTGGTCTCTTTGCTCCTCCTGCCTGGGCACCGGGCAGCCAAACCCAGGAAGATCAAACCACAGCCTCTGTTTGAGCCGCAAAATTCAGAGGGTTTTATTTCTCTTTTTTTATTTTTGGAAGGGCCTTGCTCCCACCCCCCTCCTTCATTGTCAGCCCTGCTGGGCCAGGAGCACCATTAGAACCAAGTTCACATTCATTGTATATGGTGACACTATGGCTTAAAACCCTTTGTCCCCAAGCGAGCCCTTGACAGCTACAGACCTCTCCCCAGCTCCAGCCCAGCTATATCAGTAATGCTAGAAAACCAAGCCAATAAAAGTAATTTTTTTTCATTAAAAAAACCCTTTATAGTCATTTTGTGTCAGTTGGAAATCACAGAAATTAGGCAGAAAAAAACCCCAGAGGGACGAATACAAATGAAGAGCACAGCGTCTCCCCAACAGTTCTCTGCTCCCTGGTCAGCCGGGAAGGAGTGGGGCAGGCCTACGGGCATCTACGTGACGGGCGGGGCCTGGCCGCCGGGCTGCCCGGGGCTCAGCTGTCCTCGTCGTCCAGGGACTCAGAGTCCACGCGTACCCTCTCGCGCTCCTGCCGGTCCTTCCCTGGCCCATCCAGGTCAGGGCCCTCCCGCGCGCTGCTGGTGGAGCACAGCACGGTGGGGGTGAGCAGGCTGCCTTCCTCTCTATCTCCATCTACCACTGACACACTGAACGCCCTACTCTCCCCACCGCTGTGCCCAGCACAGTGGGTTCACATTGAATAGTCCAGGGTTTTCAACATGGCCGCACACCAGGCTTGTGAAACAGCCTGCCTGTGCCACTCCTGGAGGGTCAGGAGGAAGCCACTCTCCCCAGGGCAGCTCGGATTCTCAGAGCTCCTTCAATGGGAGGTCCTGGGGGTCTGCTGCTAAGGTGAGGGGGTGGGAGGCCACCACATAGGGGCCAAGTCCCTGAGACCCTGACCAGCACAAGCAGCTGACTAAGAGCAACTCAGACATCAGGGTGCCTTCTCAGCAAGTCACCCCACTTTCTCAGAAAGTTGCCCCCACCATCGCGGCCCCTGGCAACGCTTACTCATTGTGTAGCAGGTCTTCGCAGAAACCCCCGACTGGCCCCTCTTCCAAATTCTGTTCTTTCTCCTGCTCCTTGTCCTCCATGTTCCCACCCTTCTGGGATGTCGCCTCACCATTCACTGAGGCTGAGAGATCTAGATCTGGAGGGGGACAGGGCATCATGGGACACTTCGAGGCTGTCGTACAGGACTCCTGATCCCTCCCCACTGAGAGTAGATGGGCGAGCAAGCGGCTTTGGGACAGGGTACCCGACCCTCTTCAAGGGCCCTAGCCCCGTGCACCCCGTCACCTCCACCTCCATGTCTCCCAGTCACATGGGGACTGTCAGCTCCATCAGGCCGGGGCTGGCTGTGTGTGGTTCTGCAGCCAGCCCCGGCCCTTGAAGGAGGGAGGGGCCAGTAAATGAGTGGCCACAGCTGGTACAGAAGTAAGACGCCCACTCTGGGCTGTCCCTCGGGCTGCTCCACATATCTGTTATCAGGACCAGGTGACTCCAGCAGGAAGGAGCCCCCTCTGCTCCCAGAGCCCACTGTCTCTGCCAGAGATGTCCTCTTCCTCCTCTCAGCCCACCCTTAGCCCTCCAAGCCTATCCTGAGGCCTGCCTTCCAGGATTGCTCACACACACCCGGCCCGCACACACACAGCCTCCTTCACTACCCAGCTCCTAAGGGCACAGAGCCTGTGAGCAGCGTTGACATGTGCGTGTACCAGGCACCAGCTGCCCTGGGGACACAGTCAGGCCTGCGCAGAGAGCAACAACAGGACGTGCCATCCTGGCCATATGGGGAGACCGGTCCGCCCCGCCCAACGCCTCACCAGCGCTGGCCTCATCCTCTGCCCTCTCCAGCGGGGCCACCTCTCCAGCCAGCGCCTCCTCGGCCTTCTCCATCTCGGCCCGCTCCTTCTCCGGCCCGGTTCTGGCTGCCTTCTGGATGGCCTCAATCTTTGGTCCCAGGACCCTCGACTTGAGCCGGGTGTAGACTTCCGCGGCCTTCTCCATCACCTCCTTGTTGGCTTTGTAACGGCGAATCTGCCCACCAAGGGAGTACAGCTGGCCTCACCCCCACCCGAAACCTTCCCTAATGCTACCACCCCCAAGGCACTTCCCCTGGAGACTGGTACTCCCCTAAGCCTGGCTTTCTCCTTGCCAACCAAGGGCAGCAGTGGCCAGGAACCCGGGCTCCCCGAGCAGACCCTGACCTCTTTGGACCCACTTGCTCCGAACCTCTTCCTCTCCTGGGCTTCTACCATACCTTTTTCAACGTGGCCACCACATCTGTGTTCTTCTGGAGGATATGTGAGGTCACCTGCAGGGTCCCTAGCTCTTCTAGTGCATTCAGACACCTCTTCACGTCCTGCAGGGTGGGGAGGTAAGGAGTAGGAAGAAACAGCACCTAGAAGGCCCAGCAGGTCAGAGGTGTACACCCTGGGGATCTTCCTGCAGGGAGGGCTGAGTGATGGAGAACCCCAGGGATGGTGGGAAGAACCCAGAACTTGGAGGAGCCTTGCGGCCAGCCCACCACGCCACCTGGTGGGGAAGCTAAGCACTGCACCTCAGGATGGCCCTCAGCTGGGGGACAGACCATAGAAACAAGGACCCCTACCCAGGCCATCTGGAGGGACCCAGGATTTGCCTGTTTCCAGAGACTTCTAAGGGAGCTCTAGACATGAGGGGGTCAGGGGGACTGCTTGGCTCAGGGGATGTGGCTCCCCACAGCTCTGAGGGTCTCACCGGATTATCGACCTTCAGGGCAAACTTGATCTCACTGTGCAGCTTCTGAAGCCTCTCCTCCACGGAAGGTTCTGAGGCCAGGAGAGAACGCACCGCCTGGGCCTGAGTGGGATGTAGAGCCCCAACACCCACACCTGGCCAAGGACTTGCCTGAGGGAAGCAACCTTCCCCCTTCCCGACCTCTGCGACCTCGGGGTACAAGACGGCGACCGGTGCAGCTGGGCCCTCACCTTTCTTCTTTTCAACCCTCCTGTCCGGTGGGAACCCTTCTGACCTCTTCCGGGTTCGTTCCACCTTCATGGGCCTGTGAAGAGCCAACCCCCCTTAGGCCTCTGACCAACATCCATAAGCCCACTGTGCCCTGGCCACTGCTGTCCTCCCCACCAAGGAGGGTGGGGGCTTCAGGAGGCCCTGGAAGCTGGGAGGAGGGTCAGGGCCGCCGTGACCTGGTCTAGGGGAAGCACCCGAGGTGACCACAGATGGCAGCCCATCCTCTGGCTCCTGTGAGCAAACCATGTGAAATCCCAGAATTTATTTATTTTTTTGGTATGTGGCTGAGGGTTAAAGACTAGTATGTAAAACCTAGTGAATGAGTTATTAAACGCACTGCAACTGGACACTCACACGACAGCAATGCTCGTTATGGCAGCTCTAGTTCTACGCTCTGCCTGGCAGTCTGGCAGCCAAGTGCCCAGTGCGCAGATTCTAACCAGTGGCTGGAATGCCACTTACAAATGGCAGGGAGATGAGCTGTCTCCCCACCTCGGTGGGCTTCGGACTTAAAAAGTCTGAGAACCACTGGTCTGGGGGTTAGTTACCCCCTCAGCAGGACTGACACTGGGGTCACTCTTTGTGGGGCTGTCCTGGGCACTGTAGGGTGTTGAGCAGTCTCCCTGGCTCTACCCACTCGATGCCAGTAGCCCCCGAGTTGAGGACCACAGTATTGCAGCAGGGCATGCTTCAACTGGATGTGACTACCAGACTGCATTTGGAAACTGAGCGCTTCCCATGAGGGGTGAGAGGTCCCCAGAAGGCTGAGAACCTGGGGACCAGGGTCGGGCAGGTGGGGCTCCCCACAGAGCTGAGGGAGGACAATGCCAAGTAGGTGCTGACCTGGCTCGGGGTTTCTCCTCAGGGCGCACTCTCTTCTCCTTCTGGCTGGGTCTCCTCACGGGCTCCATGCTTTGTGGCTGCAACTTCTTAGCTGATTTCTTTCCCTGCAGCAGCGAAAAAGGGGCTGAAGTGGCTGGGGCTTAGCCCAGGCTCTTGAACTGTCCCCCTTGGAGATACACCAAGACACTTCTCGCCACCACCTTTGGGCTGTTGGGAGCAGGTAAAATGGATGGGACGGGATGGGAAGGATCCCTGTGTCCAGTCAGTCCCCAGGCAGCCACTTCTCAGGCCCTGACAGGACTGCCCAACAGTGGGGCAGCCCCACCACACTCCTCCTATGAAGCAGGAGGCTTCCTGTGGCAGGGTACTCAGTTCCCCCATTGGGACAAAAGGGAGAGTGACAGGAGAACAGGATGTTGTCTGGCTTCCCCCATCGCCACATTGAGTGGGATCCTGTGCTCAATCTAGAACATGATGCGCCTGGGATGTCAGACTCTGGGAATCAGGCTGGAGTGTGAGTGCCACAAGGGTGGGGAGCTGACAGTGCCTAATGGTCACCACCGCACCTTGTTGGCATCAGAGTGCTCCTAACTGCTTCCATGCTCATCCCACAAGCTGTTCCCCATAGCAGCCAGAGGACACATGCAGACATCGGAGTCAGGTCCATCCGTCCTCTGCCCACAGCCCTCCAGGGCTCCCACTTCCCTCAGGTTAAAAGCTCAAGTCCTCCCTGTGGCCCACAAGGACCTGCACTACCTGCCCCCATCCCCTCCCTGGCTCACCTCCTCCCTCTCTCTCCCTTGCTCACTCAGCTCCAGCTACTCGGGCCTCCTCACTGTCCTTCCAACACGTCAGGCATGGTCCTGGCCCCAGGGCCTTTGCACAGGCTGTACCCTCAGCCTAGGATGCCTTTCCCCCCAGATATCTTCCCAGATGGCCTCTCTTCATTCAGATTCCTACTTAAGTGTCACCTTATAAACTGAAGCTTTCAGGGTCTACCCCATTAAAATGGAAGCCCTCCCCCTCCAACACTTCACATCCCTCCCTTTGCTTTATCTTTTTCCTGAACACTGAATGCTCTGGAACGCCCCATGCAACATCCTGATGTTATCCACTCTTTCCCTCCCTCAGACGTCGGCTCCTTAATAGCAGAGGTTTCTGTGTGTCACCCACTGCCTTACTACCATATCTCTGGCACCCAGAACTGTGTCTAGTACACAGCTGGTGCTCAATAAACATGCTGGATAAAGGAATGGACTTGCTGGAAGGGGCGGGCATTAGGGAGAAGCCTCCTTGATCACTCGTCTTTCCCCATCATGCTCCTCGGGGCCCCGAAACCCCCACCAGGCTGGGCGCACCTCTCTCTCCAGCTCGGCCTCGGGTTCAGAGTCAGAGGAGGACTGCGGCCCCCCGCCCCGGCCCTTCCGGACGCGCTGCTTCCTAATGGGCTCATCCTCATCCCTGAGCTCTTCGCCGCTGCTGCCCCCGCTGCCTCCATGCGGGGCCTCCCCGCGCTCGGCCCGCTCGCGCCTCCGCTCCTTCTCCTCCTTCTCCTGCTCCCGGAGCCGTCGCATCTCCTCCTCCTGCTCCCGGCGCCTCCGGGCCTCCAGCTCCCGGCGCCGCTCCTCGTCCCGGCGCTTCCACTCGCTGATGCGGTCCACCTCGTCACTGTCACTGGGGATGCGGGCCCGTTAGAGGGGGTCTGTCCTGAAACCCACCCGCAGCCTGGGTGAGGACCCTGCCAGACATGACCCCACCCATCACCCACCTGTCACTGCTCGATGAGCTCGGTGGCCGTTCAGGTTTCGGTTTACGCCCACGGGGTTTTGGGGGAGGCTTCTCAGCTATGAAAAAGGAGAGGGTGGCCTACTCCCGCACCGTCCTCCGGGCGGGGCCCCTGGGTACCGGGTCAGGATGGGTGTCCACGATTCTACCTGGCTTCCTGCCCCGCGGAGCTTTCTTTGCGGACACGTCCGAGTCAGAGGAAGATGACGAGGACGCTGAGGAGGCTGACCTGGCCAGAGCCACTGGCTGACCCTTGGCGCCTTCTGATTCTGGTTTGGAATCCGAGTCGGAGGCCGAGGGCAGCTTCTGGGAGAGGCCCGGGTTCGGAAGTGAGGACAGACCCCAGTGCCCCCTGCAGCCCTTTACCCACAAAAACCTGCTCCCCCCAAATTAGAAATGCTTCCTTTAGGCCTAAAATCAAAGGCAGTTCCTGCCTGGATGGGCCTGCAATCATGGTGTGTAATCCCCTCAGAGCTCCCTCCTTGGTGAGGGAGGCTGGTAACATACAGTTTTTTTTCCAGAGGCAAGAGCTTTTTAAATACCACAAAATCTTGCTTGGATGACCAACCAGATGAGCTGCCCTCTTGCGCTGTCTATGACCCCAAGCTCTCCTGGGTCCACAACACACACACATGCATGAACACACTTATACACATATACCTACAACACAAGCTTATAGATGTGCACACACAGGCATGATTGTGTATACTCATACACGCAAACACACACTTGTGCACAACTTACGCATAACTCACATACCACACACACTTATACCCATGCACACATTCATACATACACAAGCACATACAACACACATAACACTCATACACATGTGCATGCACACACAACAGTTGCACATGCACACAACACGCTTATACACACACACAACACCACATACTCTCTTGCTCTCTCACATGGGCACCTAAGAGTGGTTCACTGCCTTTCGATGCCAGCACCCCAGCATCCCGTTTTCCAAACCAGCTTCTAGGTTCCCTGATTGTCTAGTGGTTAGGATTTGGCGCTCCCAAACTGGCCTCTAAGTTCCGATCAGGAGCAGCAGCAGTCAGATCGTCTCCTGCTCGGGAAGGTGCTCTGCACACACAACACTCGGAAACTACAGGCTGAGGCCATCAGTGAAGCCAGAGGCAGAAATTGGCAGCCCCCTCCCCAGGGTCTCCTTGTGGCCAACGCCCTATCCTCTTCCAAAAAGGACCAGACTCTAATCGTGGACAGTGGCTGGTGACCTTGGAGAGAAGCTCTAAGAGTTTCTTCCAGGCGACATGAAAAACAAACAAACAAACAACATCTCTACCTTTTTCTTCCGTCCTGGTAGGGGACCCCGCCGCGGCGCCCGGACCACGGCTTTCTTCTCAGGGGTGAAGTCCTGTGTGGAGAGAAGGGAGTTGAATAGGATCCACTGGCTGGCACACCCCTAGGCTCCCATCTGTGCACCCCTCCCTCACCCACCCAAGGAGCCAGCCACCTGCTCACCTGGTCACTGGTCTTCTCTGATTCAGATGAGCTTTCTGAGTTCTCCTCCTCGGATGGGGACATGCTGGCCTGATCCAGGTCGCTGGAGGCCTTCCGGGCTCGTTTTGAGACCGACATCTGCAGGGAGAGCAGCCCAAACAGATCAGTCTGTGTGCTCGGCAGAGCTGTCTCCAACCTGACCTCTCTCAGCCCTGGGAAGAACTGAGGTTTAGGAATCTTTGTGGGGGCAGCAGGGACCCTTCGACGATCTGATAAAAACTAGGGATCCTGAATCTTGAGGACATTATGCTCAGTGAAATAAGCCAGACACAGAAGGACAAATACTACATGATTCCACTCACAGGAGGTCCCCAGAGGAGTCAGATTCATACAGACAGAGAGTAGATGGTGGGACCAGAAGCTGGGGGAGGGGAGGGGAGTGAGTGTTTAATGGGGACAGTGACAACTTAGGGAGATGAGAAACTTCTGGAGATGGACGGTGGGGATGGTTGCACGAAAATGTGAATGTGTAATACTTAATGTCGTTGAACTGTATACTTAAAATCAGTTAAAATGGTACATTTTGTTACATATATTGTATTAAGATGAAAAAAAAAGAAAAAAGAGAAACACCAAACCAGAGATCCTCTCCCTAGAAAAACATATGCACATATCTTGGAAGAAAAGATGGTGGTTGCTATTTTGAATGTACTAAATGCCACTGAGCTGCACATTTTAGAATGGTTAACTTGTATATGAATTTCACCTCAATAAACAATTCAATACACACACACACACACACACACACGCACACGCACACACACAATTCTAAATTCAGTTTCAGGGATTCATGGACTGACGCCCACCCAAAGAAGCCAACTTAAAAGAGTTCTTATAAAGGAAGAGGTGAAGCAGCACAGAGAACTGAGCTACAGAAATAGGTCTCTGCCGTGACAACCAGTCCTTCCTACTGGGGCATCTGTTTACTTACAAAGCCCTTTGCCTCTATTTTGTCACAACGTAGAGACTCGTTCCTTCTCTTAAAAACTACTTCCGGAGCATGTCCCTTCTTCATGCCCTTTCCAAGGCCAGGGTGTCATGGGCTGAATTGTGTCTCCCTAAAAGTCATATGCTGTAGCCTAACCCCTAGTACCTCAGGATGTGACTGTATGTGGGTCTTTAAAGTAATAAATTAAAATGAGGTGATGAGGGTGGGTCCTAATCCAATCTGACTGGCATCCTTATAAGAAGAGATCAGGACATAGACTCACAGAGGGAAGAGCATGTGAGGCTACAGGGAGAAGACGGCCATCTACAAGCCAAAGAGCAAGGCCTGCTGACACCTTGATCTCAGACTTCTGGCCTCCAGAATTATGAGAAAATAAATGCCTGTTGTTTAAGCCACCCAGTCTGAGATACTTTGTTATGATGGCCCAAGCAAATCCTATGCCAGGTGACACGCCAATGAGATGAGGCCCCTACTCTCATGCAATTTATCTCTTGTCAGGAGACACAGAAACATTAAGTAAGGATCTAAGAAAACAATTAAATCCTGTGGAGAGCGACAGGGAGTGCCTTACAGGGGTGGTCAGAGAAAGCCGGCTGAGAGTCCTGCAGAATGAGGACATGACAAATGGAGGGAGGAGTTTTCTGGGCCAAGAAAACAGTAAGTACAAAGCCCCTGGGGTGGAAGGAAGCTTGGCGTTTTCAAATATGGGAAAGGAGATTGGGGTGGCTGGCAGGCAATGCTGAATCAGAGTACCCAGCTCAGCTCCCCTCCCACCAGGGCCCTGGGCAGGACCCCACTCCATGAGGGCTGGTGGCAGGGGTCTGCTATCAAACCTTGATAAAAGGAAGTCCTTTATGTTGCCCTTAAAAAAGATGAATTTGGGGCTGGCTGAGTGGCGCGTTGGTTAGGAATTGGTTTGAGACACCAGCTCTGAGAAGCAGAGCCCAGGTTCGGATCCCACATGAGGGCCAGTGATGCTGTGCCCTCTACAGCTAAGATGGTGAACAGCAGTTCGACCTGGATCTGGGCTGCCACGAGTGGCCAGCAACAGCGTAGGCTGCAGTGGGGCTGGCCGGCAGCAGGCGTGAGCTTTTGTGAGCTGCCGTGATCCGCCATCCAATGGCTAGTGAGTGACTACCTCACCCAGGACAAGCACAATAATAGCAACATGGGCCAGTGAAGCGACGTCCTCTACAACTAGACAGAAGAACAAAAGGACAGCAACTTGTCTGTTCCCCTTCCCTGATTCCCGAATAAAATCTAAAAAAAAAAAAAAAAGATGACTTTGAAGACCACAGCACCCGACGAATCGGGGAATGGAGCATGGAAGTGCCAGTGTGGTAGGGTTATGCGTGAAGGTCTCTTAAATCCTTCCCCAGTACTGTTAAAACGTGTTATAATAACCACTTATATTTGTTTAACGTAAAGTTAGCCAAAAACATCTAAACATATACTGACCTATAAATAGTGATTTCTAAGGGGGGTATAGGGGAGGGGGCATTTGTTTTCTTCTTCTTTTTTTTTTTTTAAGATTTTTATTGGGGAATTGGGGGATGGGAACAGTGCTGGGGAATTGGGGGAAGGGGAACAGACAAGTCCTTTTTGTCCTTTTTGTTCTTCAGTCTAGTTGTGGAGGACATTGCTTCACTGGCTCAAGTTAGCACCATCATTGCGCTCTTCCTAGGTGAGGCAGATCAGTCGCCGGCTTCTGGCAACTCACGCTGGCTGCTGGCTACACACGGTAGCCCATGGCAACCCACTGCAGCAGGGGCTGCAGCCTACGCCATCGCTGACGGCTCACAACAGCCCAGCTCCAGGTTGAGCTGTTGTTCAGCATCTTAGCGGTGTAGAGGGCAGTGTCACTGGCCCTCATATGTGGGATCCAAACCGGGGCCCTCTGGCGTCCCAAGCCAGCACCTAACCAACGCGCCACTTGGCCGGCCCAGGGCATTTGCTTTCTATATATTCCTGTTTAACATTTCTAACAATAGAAGTATTGGGGACTTTGAAAAAACAATACAAGGCATAAATCATAAAAAGTTGTGAGGAAAACTAAATGCCCAACAATCTAATATATTTGTTAGAATTCGTCCACATCAGACTACTTCTCAACCACTGACACCTGCATCGTACAATATTTCATCACAAGGAAATGCTTATAATATTAGGTGGGCGGGGGGGGGGAAGCAAGACACATATTGTTGCCAATTCTGTACTACACACACACACCCTGTGTGAGACACATAAATCACAGAGAAATACATATGGATGTTTCCAGTCCTTGGTGCAGAAACCCCTCAGATAGTATGGGTATTTTCTACTAGCTTCTTTATGATGTTTGCCTCTTCTAGCTTACTTACAATGAGCATGGTTTATTATCATTAGAACCAAAAGCAAATGTTATTTTTAAAAATAAAATGAATGCCATACTCTATCCAAAAGAATTTGCTGCTAGATCCTGGTCCTTTCACGCTGCACCCAAATATTTAGAAGCAGTCAAAAGGCAGAGGAGGAAAAACAGGAAGGCAGGAAGAGAACAGATCCAGAACTGAAAACATACAACCACACAAAAATATGTATACGAATGTTCACAACAGCATTATTTATAATGGCCAAAAAGTGAAGACAACCCAAATGGATATCAACAGATAAACAGACAAAATGTGATCCATCCATACAAAGATATATTATTCAGCCATGAAAAGGAGGTGCTGATAGTCGCTATAACGTGGATGGACCTTCAACACATGGTGCTCAGTGAGAGAAGCCAGACACGTAAGGCCACACAGTGTGTGATTCCATTTATAAGAAATGTCCAGAACAGGCAAGTCCACAGAGACAGAAAGAGGGTTAGTGGTTACCAGGGGCTAAGGGAGGGGGATGGGGAATGACTGCTGATTGAGATGGTTTCTTTTTTGGGGTGATAAGACTGTTCTGGAATTAGTGGTGATGGCTGTTTATGTGGTGAATCTACTTAATGCCACTGAATTGTATACTTTGAAAGGCTAAATTTCATGGTATGTGAATATCTCAATTTTTAAAGAAATTGCATGTTAAAATAACAAAGTGAGGGGAGAGAGAGTAGGCTGCGGGGTGCGACTTCAGGGTGGGAGGAGGAAGAGCCAGGGCATCACTGGGCCCCTCAACGGGCCAGGTGCACACACCCCCACAGGTCAGGTGGGCCTGCCCCATCCCACTCTTACCTTCAAGGCCGACGCTTTTCGTTTCAGGCCACTGTTCTCACTGCTCTTGTCTGAGTCTGAGTCACTCTCCATCCTATCACTGGTGGCTGTGGCAGTTACAGCTGTGACAGCCATGACCCCTCGGTCCTCTTCATCCTCACTCTCGCCCGCTGGGTCAGCTTCGGGGGCCTCGCTGTCAGAGGAACTCACCGGCTAGAGGGTGGGGGGCAGAGACCAAGAGTCACCCCCAGGCTTGGGTGAATCTCTCAACCAGGACAGTGACCCAGAGGACAGCACCCCCTAGCGGCAGGTTATCCAATGTCAGGGTCCAGCCTCCTCACTTTCCCAATGGGGGAACTGAGGCCCAGAAAACCCAGGGAACTGAGGTAGGAGGTCGAGATGGACAGGTGTGTGGTGGGCACTAGGGTTCAAGCACTTTGGGATTCAAGGTCAAACCCTGGGCAAGTTTCTGTGCCTCAGTTTCCACATCGGAGCAATGGGAATGCCACCATTTTGGCCTCACAGGGCTATGGCAAGGATGAGACACAAGCAGTATATGACGTACTTAGCACAGTGCCCAGACTGGCAAGAGGTCCATCAAGGCTTGTTTTTTTATTATTATTATTCTCACAATTATGAGAAAGCCAACCTAGGTTAGGACCTCTGGGCTTGAACTTCAAGGCACAATTATTTCTGTTTTACTCAAAATGCCTGCTCAGGCAGTGACAGCCACAAAGGTAGCAAACACTTACATGGCGCTGCTTCTATGCGAGCCACACGCCAGGCTCATTTACACACTCAGTTACTGTTTGTGAGCAGGTGTTGGGTGCCAAGCACTGTGCTAGGTAGGTAGTAAGCACATAGATGTGAATAGGGCATGGTCCCTGCCCCTGGGGAGCTTACAGTCTAGTGGGAGAGACTGACCATAGCCACTTAAACAGATCAATGTCACATCATGGTGATGGGCAGAAAGAAAAATATCAGTATGTGGGTGGGAAGGAATCAGCGAGAGGTGGGTGCAAAGCAGCGGGAGTACTCTGCAGTCAGAGGGCCCTCAGAGGGCATGATATTTTAGTTGCTGGGTCGTCCCAAGCATGCAAAGGGATAGGGGTTAGACGCATTCGGGAAAGCAGGGCTGGCATGAGTAAAGGTCCCCTAAGAAACCTGGAGAGGTCGCTGTGGTGGGGCACAGCAAGGGAGAAGCAAACGGCAGGAGAGAGGCTGGGAGGTTAAGCTGGGCCGCATCATGCAGGACTTATCGAGGCTCACAGAGATCAGGCAGATGGCACAATGACAGTCAGGCCATAAGGCTTTCTCAGGTCCCTTTCTGAACTTGTTCTGGATGTTTTATGTTTGTGGGAGGAAAATGGATGGGCCCCAGTTGTATTCAGCCATCATTCACTCATCCAATGAACGTCATGGAATACCTACTCTGTGCCCGGCCCTGTGCTGGGTGCTGGGGCTAGAGATGAGTTAGACAGGGTACCTGCCCTCGAGGAGCTCACAGTCTAATGGGGAGACAGACAAGTAAATGCACAGTTACAACACAGTACGGGGGGGGGGGGGCGGGCAGGCGGCACCACTACCACTCCTGGGCACCCAGCCAAGTTTGGGTGTAAAATCTGACAGGGTTATTTCATGGTACGTACTTCTTTTCTAAATAACTGTTTTTGTTTTGTTTTTTTAAGAAAGATAATGACTGAGATTCTTAAAAGCCACACTCTCTGGAAATAACCCAAATGTCTATCTACTGATTAATAAATAAAATGTGAGATAGCTATAGAATGGAAGACTATTCAGTCATAGAAAGGAGTGAAGCACTGACAGGCTACAATGTGGATGGACCCTGAAAACATGCTCAGTGAGAGAAGTCAGACACAAAGGACAAAACATATGATTCCATTTATATGCAGTGTCCAGAATACGCAAATTCATGGAAACAGAAAGTTGATTAGTAGTCCCTAGGATTGGGGGGAGAATTGGGGGTGACTGCTAATGGGGAGGGGGTTTCTTTGTGAGGTGATGGGAATGTTCTGGAATTAAGATAGTAGTGATGGTTGCACAACATTGTGAATGTACTAAAAGCTACCCTCGTGTATACTTTAAAATGATGAATTTTGTTATATGAATTTCACCCCAACTAAAAAAGACAACCAAAAAAAAAAAAAACAAAGACATTACCATAAAAAAAAAAAAGCCACACTCTCTTGGTGTGATATTAGTCAGGGTTCAATGGATCACAGCAGGGCATGCACAATGGCCAAGAAAAAAGCTAGGAGGACCAAAGGGACATGAAAACTTGAGAGGAGTCTCCAGGGCCGCGCCGACGGGACATGTGAAGTGAGACTAAAATGAGGAGCATGGAGAAGCAGCTGGGTGGCCAGGAGGAGGGAAGAGGGGTCATGACAGTGGCTGAGACCAAGTCTCAGCAGCACATGAAAGTGGAAACGCACAGAAGAGAATGGAAATGTGGGAGGAGAAAGGTGGGTGCCAGAGCTGAACTGGGGACAGCAATGCAAGAGGAGAGGCCAGAAGCAGGAGGGCGGGGAGGAGTGGCTGGGAAGGGACTTGGTCAGTCATTCCTCCCTACTCCATGCTCATTCATGTATAAATCCCTGTTCAGGAGGAGAGGGGAGGGCCGGGAAGGGGAGGGGAGGGGAGTCTAGTGGAGTCCTGAGCCCGCCCAGCCTTCACCACAATCCCTATTTAACAGGCAAGAAAAAAATTAAAACCAGGTGTAGACAGGATCTGGCAGCTCAGCACCAATCACCTTTTGTCTCCCTTGAGTCACTGTGACCAAGGGTCCTTAGGCAGGACGGCAGAGTCTTGTCTGTATGTTTGACAAGATTAAAAAGTATAACTCGAAGTAGGTCAAGCCCCAAACCAAAAACGCTACAAGAATCACACCTTCACCTTCATGGTGGATTTCTATCACACCTCTCCTCCAGGGTGGAGAAGCAACACCACTGGTGAGTAGAGAAGGCAGATGCTAACCCTCATTTGTCACTTGGAGAGTAAGTGACTAACTGGCTGGTCCAAAGACCTTTTGTAGGGGAAAGGGTGAGCATCACAGCAGTTAAAAGCCAGCATTAGTCAGATGCAAACTGCCACACACCAAGCTCATCATCTCTCTGTGTAACAGGTGGCAGCTGTCATCCTCATTTTGTAGATGAGGAAAAAGGAGGTGTGACAACTCAAGATCACATAGCAAGTAAGTGACAGAGCCGGGGTGCAAGAAAGGTTCTGCCTTGGCCGCTAAGCCTGGGCCCTGCACTCAGCTAGTGCTTACTAAATCCCTCCTCGCTTCTGCCAAGCTCTTGACCAACTGTGATCCGAATTGTGCCTCTACAGCTTGGTCAGGTAATTGGGACAAATGGGCATGGCCCTCAACTAGGGAAACCGAGTCTCTGGAAAGGTAAGTGACTTGCCTGGCACTGTGCTTGTGGGACACCAGGAACTCTGATCTGGGGTCGGCCCATGGAATCCGACTGTCTGCTAGCAAAGTTTTGGGAAATCTGATCCATGTGAAGTCTGGGGGATAGGAAAGCTGGCAGCACCAAGAGGAACCAGGAAATAAAGGCCGAGAACCATTCAATGTCCAAGCCCAACCATCCCAACACCCAGCGGCTGAGTGAGTGAGATGAGCACTCATTTCTCTCACCGTCTTAACAGATCAAGTGACTGAGATAGAAAGGGAAGGCAAATCCAGCCTGGCCTCCTCATTCCCAACTTGCACTTACCGTGTAACTATGCTAGGTACCTGCCCACTGGATTCTGCCCACTGGATTCTGCCAATAACCCTATGAGAGGCTGGTATGAGAATGATCCTCTATTTTAGATGAGGAGACTGAGGCTCAAGAGGGGTGATGGCGGGCTGGCCGAGTGGCTCACTTGATTAAGAGCACAAGCTCTGAGCAACAGGTCGCCGGCTCAATTCCCACACGGACCAGTGAGATGCGCTTGAGCTGAGCTGCCGCTGAGCTGCCAACAAGTGGCAGGATGGCTCAGTTGGTGAGAGCACGTGCTCCTAACAACAACGTTGCCAGTTCGACTTCCACATGGAAATGGTGGACTATGCCCACCTGCAACTAAGATTGAACACAGCACCTTGAGGCTGAGCGGCTGCAAGCTGCCAACGGGCAGCTGGATGGCGACTGGACTTGGGAGCTGAACTAGCTGTGCACTCCACAACTAAGATTGAAGGACAACAAGTTAGCTGTTCCCCTTCCCCAATTCCCCAGTAAAATCTTAAAAAAATAAGAGGGGTGATGGCAATTCCCAAGGTACACGATGAGCAAGTGATAGAGTCAGGACTTGAGCCCAGGTCCAGGTGCCCACACAGCAGGGCTCTTAACTCCAGGTTCCACTGTGTAGAGGTTATTCTCTTCTGGGCCATCCTACCCCAGACCTCCACCACAGCTTGTATCGGCTGGAAGGAAAAGAATTCTGTCTGGGAAGCGGGAAGCCTGGGATTTAGTCCCAGCTCAGCCATAACCAGCTTGAGAACCTCAGACAGGTCCCCTTACCTATTCCTCTATTGGTGACCAGGATATATTACCTGGGATCCTTTTAGGTCAGTGGTTCTCAACCAGGGATGATTTTGTTCCCCAGGGGGCATTTGGCAATGTCTAACATTCTGGTTATCAATGTGGGGTGCTCCTGGCATTGAGTGCATGGGGGCCAGGGATGCTGCTCAACACCCCACAGTGCCCAGGATGCCCCGCCACAGAGGATGATCTGGCCCACAATGTTGAAAAATGCTGGTTTGGGTCTAAGGGGTCTCAGACTCTAGCTGGGCTCCTTTGAGCAATCAAGCAAACTGTCTGGACGTCAGCTTGCTCATCTGCAAAATGGTGAAGACGCTACCAACCCACGCTACTCACAAAATTACTGCGTGAACCAAAAGACAGTGAAGTTGGAACCACACCGATATACCACTTTTCACCTCTTGGCTTGGCAGGGGATGTAGGAACAGGCCTTGCCGAACGCTCCTGATGGGAGCATCAGCTGAGCTAAGGCTATCAAAAAGAATGAGACTGTTCTCTGCATGTTGACATGGACCAGCAGTCAAGATATATTAGAGAATAAAACAAAACACAGTATTATATGCTTTAAAAAAAAAAAAGCAATATAGAGTTTTAGAATAAAAGATCTTGGAAGGATATATAAGGAACTGGTGACTGTGGCTGTCTTGAGAGGAAATAGAAGCAGAGTGACTGGGAGGCAGGACCGACTTTTCACTGCATGCCCCTTTCATACCTTTTTCAATTCTGTACCACAAGTCTGTATTCCTACTTGAAATGTAAAAACAAACTACAAACTTCAAGGACAAAAAAAGATACTGCTCAGTATCTATAAAGCAAAGCTTCTAAAAGCCTGGCTCCATCAGAAGTATCTAGAATAATGCATGGGAAGAAACACCCTAAGGTTCCCAGGCCTCAGCTCTAAACTACACCTAAACATCCAGGAGTGGGGCCAGGGATCCACATTTTAAACCGATGCTCCATTTGGAGGTTAAAGAACCAAACAGCAGCGCTAATCTCACACTCAGAGCTACTTCTCAACTTGGGGAGTCTGTACAGGGCTGCTTTAATGTCAAGGTCACACCAATTTTGAGTTTTGTTTCCTCAAAGGCAGGCATCTATGTGGTGCTTAGCAAGCTGTGGGTGTGCAACAAATATTAAATGGTGCGACGATTCACCAGGATAAATAAGCTTAGGGCGTAACCAAACAACTTGAGCTGGGGCCAGAAAAGGATCTCATGAAAACTCCATTACCTTAAAGACCTTCCGATCCTTTTACCCAAGTCAGAGACATGCAAAGCACAGGGAGGGCAGGTATCAAAGCAGGGGACCTCCACCTCCCAGACCCACCACAGGAGGTAAAAGTCAAACACCCCCAACATTCACTAAATGTGAGCATGGTCCATCTGTTGAGTGAATCCCAAATTCTGGGCCGAGAGCACCTGGGAGGCAAGAAGTGTATCTGAGTCACCTTGGATTCCTGGTCCCTAGTACAACATGTTGCACGTAGCAGGTGTCGATACAGAAGTATATGCTGGATCAGTGGGTGGACAGAGCCATAGGAGAAGCACACCCAGACCATCTCAAGACTGCAAGTTCTCAAGCAGAACCAGGCCCCACAGAACTACTCAGTCCTTCGCACACACAAACCAGACCCTCTCGGACTCCTGCTTCCCTCCCCACAGACCGTGCCGGAAGTGCTTTTCCTCCCTACCAGCCAAGCTCTGGCCCCTTAGGTCAGTTGACTCTCAGCCTACCTCAAGCCCACCCCTCCTGAGGCCAGGCTGCTCCACCTCCCCGTACCACCAGCAGAAACCCCAAAAGCGGTGGTTAACAGGGCAGATCTCCGGACCAGTCTCCCCTTATCTGCATCTTATCCCAAAATACTCAGAGCAAGGCACCCCTCTGCTATTCTTCCACTCTCTTCCATGACTTTATGAATTTAACTTCAACTTTTCTAGATGATTTCCTTTCCTTGAATATTTTCAGACATCGATTCGCCACTGAGATGTCATCTCTATGGTTCTCGGCATTTTTTTTCCACCTAAGCAAGAACTCTCATATCTACTAACTGCTGCCTATTTCCGAGCCAAAAATCTGGCAGTAATGGCAAAAGTGGGGGTTGTTACTGAAAGAAAAAAAATGTTTTCCTCAGAAAACAAAAGGTTTTATAAAAGCTCCAACACTGTTATAAATTCAGGCTAATCTTATTGCAGTGGGTCTCACCAGGGGTGAGCCTGCACCCCTCCAGCTCATCCAGGGGACACTAGGACATGCTTGGTTGTCACAACTGGGGTGGGGAGGGTGCTCCTGGTATCGAGTGATGGGGGCCAGAAATGCTGCTCAACACCCCACAGCGCTCCAATTGTCAGCAGGGGAAGAGCCCTGTCCCAGAGGCCTTTCCTTTTTCTACGAGACAAGCTAAGGCTACCTCTGGTAACCAGTGCACGCAAGCACCACCTAACCTGAGCTCTGCAGAACCCACGCCAGCCGTCCCCCAACCCCAAGAACTCACCAGAGGGGCGCTGTAGCTGGCATGGGGGTTGTTCTGGATCTCCCACAGTCCTTCATTGAAGCCTTTCCTCTTGTTGGGTTTCCCGTATTTATCTTTCCACTTGTCGTAGGGAAACAGGTCCTTGGGTCCCAAGAAGGCTCTGGAGAGAGGAACCACAGCCGGTCCCAGGTGAGCCAGGTCACCCTGGGAGGCACCAGTGGGGAAAAATCAGGCCCAGCAAGAGACACTTACGTTTCATGTGTTCCAAAGAAGAAGATGGGGTACTTGTTGGGTGGGGGCTTCACGGCACCGTCAGCGATGTCATCGATCTACAGTGAGAGGCCAGTTAGAGGGTAGCTGGGGGGCGGGGGCTTCACTCACTGACCCAGGAAATCACCCAGAAATCAGCCAAGTTACTTGGGAGAAAGCATGCCAGGAGGAGGGAAGTTTTCAACCTAGGAAGATATATCACCTTCCAGTTAGGCATCTGCATTCTTCTATGCACCCCTCCCCCCCAGGGTGCTTTCTCTGCCCCCAAGGTAGATGCTTCACCTGAGCAAAGCCAAAAATGTTCCTCTGAGCAGCAAGAGGGTGGGGCCAAGCTTAACCTCTATGGACCCTAAGGACCCTCCCACCGGACTCCCTCCCGTTAAGTGGCCATCGGGTGGTCGGGTTTCCCAGAGACTGCAGCTGGCAGCTTCAAAGATGCAGAGGCTGGGGGGTGGGCTGCAGGAGACAGGCCCTGAGCATCCAGGAAGTCCCACCCTCTCCCTACAGGCCCATGGGCTCCGGCAGCTGTCAGTCACCTCCCACAGGAGGCTAGCAGCCCCTTCACTTCCAATCAGGTGCTTGGAAATGTTCAGAGCTTAAGAAAGCCGCGGAGAAGAGGGAGAAGCTGGTACTCTGGAAAGAAGGGAAGTGCCCATAAAGTTTCATCGCTCTGGTGTCCCCCAAGAAAATAAGAGTGAGCAAAGCAGGTTAGAGTGGGTTCTCTGGTCCTCATTAATTCCTTACCATCCTCTTCAATGCCTGGGATCTGGTGGCTGCTGGGATCTTCCCTGCCCCCCTCACCCACCTTCCCTCCTCAGTTCTCCTCTGGGCTACTTTTTGAAGTCCTTGGCCCGAGGTTCTGGGCCTCTCAGCATCTATCCCAAGCATCCCACTCCCAACAGAAGCATCCCCAAACTCCATCACCCTGAAGCCTAGCCAGGCCATCTGCTCTGGACTCACCCAGGACCCACCTCTAAGCCTGAGGCCCAGACATCCTAGCGGCAGCACCAGTTCCAGACTGCTCTAAGGGCTGCCTGGTCAATGGTCCCTGAGCTTCTCCTGGCATCCTCTGGCAGCCTCCTTACACCCAAACTCCCAGCTCTGAGTGATACCCTTCTGCTTACTTCCACCCAGAGGGAGGGAGGATTCAGGCTGAAATCTCCAAGCGAACCCTTGTACACCTATTCCAGTCAAACCTTCAGCCTTATCCTTCCACTGCCCCCTGGTGCTGCATGGGCCTCACATCCCCCAACCCCCGAATTCCTTCAGTCCTACCATGCATATTCCACCAACCTCAGCACTGGGGTGACTTTAGCCCTAAGACCTGGCGTTGACAATAACTTCCATATCCCTCTTCCACACTGGCCTGCCCCAAATAGTGCCTAGAACTCCACTCTGCAGATCTGATAAGGGACCCCCTGCTCAGGACTACCCTTCAGATCTGGACCCCTTGGATCATCTGGGTTCTCTGGATCCCAGCTTCCTCCAAAGGGGATCCCCAAAGCTCCCTTAGCCCAGTCCCCTTCCCTCATATGCTCTCTCTTTTGGGTTTGAGCACCCATGCTGGGGGGCCGGTCTCTGATTCAAACACCTGGGAGAACCATCCCACCTCAAGCTCTCCCTCCACCACATGCCCCAACCAACCTCTTCCACCGGGCTCTGGGTGAGGCGTAGTGTCCCACAAACAAGTCTTATTCCAGCCTCTGGTCCCTGATGCCCCAAGCATTACCAAATCAAGTCCTCTCAGATCCAATGACGTTATGAACAGACCCCCAGCTTCCTTCCAGCTCTGCCCTCGTTCAGCCTGACCTTCAACCTTTCTCCCTACTCCTCTCATCCCTTGCCATCCTCACAGGTGGCCCCGGCCCCCCAGCCCCTCAGAACTTGGCTTCTCATGGCTTCCCTAATGAATTCCTTCAATCTGGGGCGCCCCCTTCCCATCAATTTGATCCATCTCCTCAAATCTCATGTTCCTCAGCTCACACTCACGGACCGCCCTCAAACTTGAACCCTGTCCCCTCAGGCCCCAGGTCCCTCAAACCCCACGTCCCTCAGTTCTGGGATCCTCAGCGAGCAGATCCCCCAGGCCTAGGACCTCCAAACCTCAAGAACGCGGGTCTCCCAGGCCCGGGGCCCCCCATAGCCCCAGCGCGCGGGTGGCTCAAGCCCACGATCCCTCAGACCGCCGCGAGGCCCCCAGGCCCGGGCCCCCCCCCCTAGGTGCTCAGGCCCGGGACTCCCAGACACCCGGAGTGCAGGTACTTCAGGCCCCAGACCCCCAGACCTCCAGGCACGTGCATCCCTCAGGCCCGAGGCCCCATAGACCCCCGAAGCGCGGGGTTCCTCAGGCCTGGGTCCCATACTGCCCCACCCCCCCGCCTGGCACATCTCCCGCGCGGCCTCACCCGGGCCGGCCAGTGTGGGTAACCCTTCATCTTAGCGAACACCAAGTCCCCGGGCTTGAAGGCGTGCGGCATGCTGGCGGCGGGAAGCCCAGGCCGCGGGAAGCGGCGGCGGAAACAGCGACTGTGGCGACGGCGACTGTGGCGGCGGCGGCTGTGGCGGCAGCGGCAGCAGCGGGAGGCGAAGCCGGGGGCGGGAGCGCGGAGCGGAGAGGGCGGAGGCGGCCGCTTGGACAGCCGACCGGAGCGTGCTCATTGGGCTGCGCACCGCCGGATGTCCCGCCCTCCGGCCGTCACGGGCGGAAAATGCCGTCGCTCAGGGCCACGTGCGGGGATGGAGGAGCGCGGAGACCAATGAGAAGAGGGGTTGGAGAAGAGCAAGTTAACGGGATTGGATAACGGGTAGAGACAAGGGGCGTGACCCAGGACTAATGGAAGGAGGGGGAGGTTATGGGAGGTGAAAGGGGAAAGGGGGAAGGAGGGAAACTGGCGCTCTGGGACAGAAGAGGCGAGCCGCAAGGCTCCTTCTGGGCGGGGTCTAGGGTAGAGGGGCGGGCCATGGGCCGCCACAGTAGGAGGGAGTTATGTAAGAGGCAGGCCATTGGCTACCACAGGAAAAAAGGCCCAATCAACGTAGGCGGCGGGTCATTTAATAGCCTCCGGCTCTTGGAGGCGGGGCTTAAAATAAACTTCAGGCTATTATATACCACAAGACATGCGCCTCAAGGTAGGGCGTGGCCATTGGCTACCACAGGAGGAGGGGCTTAAGCAGCTATCCACCATTGGATATTATAAGAGAGAGGGTTAACGCAAAGTAGGGACGCGCCGTTGCCGGCCTGAGGGGGCGGGGCTCAGGGGACGGAGCGGAACGTGGAGCGTGTCTTAGAATAAACAGCCACAAAATGAAGAGAACACTTAGGAAGAGTTTATTGAGCACCATGTGCCAAAGCCACAAAATACCCAGTATAGATAGTAATTGATTCAAGAAAAATATTTTGAGCACTGCGTGATCAAGTTACTTAATGGCTCTGTGCCTCAGTCTCCCCACCTGAAAAATGGGACTCATAATGTTACAGATGTTAAAGGGGCATGAGGATTAAATGACTTCACCTCGCCTGAAGCGCTGGAAACTGCTTGACATTAGGAAATACTGGAAGCACTAGATGCTGGTACCCTGCCCTCCAAGAGCTCAAAAGTCAAGCAGAGCAAAGACATGTTAATTTCTTTGTAATTAACTGTGTTAAACAAAATTTAACTTCTAGGGCTGAAAGTCTTTTTTTTTGTTTTGGCTGCGCCATCCTGCCGCCTGTTGGCGGCTCAGTGGGGAATCAAACCACTGTTGCTGAGAGTTCACACCCTTAAGCAAGCTCTTAACCAACTGAGCCACTTGGCCAGCCCTAAAGGCCTTTTTAAAAGAAAGGACTTATTAGGCCATTGCCAAGAAAAAAGACTGTTTTGGGGGCATGAAGTTTAAACCACCAGCAGCAAGGCTAGGAAAGACAACATGACCATCATCTCAGAGTGTGCAGGCCTTTTAATGCATCAAGTTGGGGCACGGGGAGGTGGGGGGCGATAAGCTGTCTGAAAGAATTACATTAGCTATAGGCAAAGGGGTGGGAGAAAGTGAAGTGAATGAAGTGGGGCTGGTTCTGGGATAGAAGCAACAGAGTCCGTAATGCTCATGTGTAAACAAGAAGCAGAGGCTCCTTTGAGCTCTGAGCAACAGCAGTTCGATTCTCAGCCTGAGCTGAGCTGCTGTTGAGCTGCCAACAGGTGGCAGGATGGCTCAGCTAAAAAAAAAAAAAAAAAAAAAAAAGCAGAGGCTCCTGGGGTTCGAGGGTACCTGGCTATTCTCTCTTTTTAGCCACCTGGAAGTTAATTTATAATTCCAACATACACTAAGGGACGTGAGCAGATTTTTGTTGGTTTTGCACTGCAGTTGTTAACTAATTAACCTCTTTTTTTCTTTTCCTTCCACCCTCTGGCCTGCAATAATTTAATTTAGGACAGCTCAGAATTTTCTCCTTGTCCCCTGCTAGTAACTCAGAGTAAAAGAGCCAGAGTGTTTAAGAAAAAGCTGAGTACTGGCAGGGGGTGGGGGGGTGTCTATCCTGGGGACCAGGAGAGCTTTCTGGAAGAGGTGGTTTAGAGACTTGACATAAATGGAAACTGGCTGATACAGTGAGGTGGGTGCTAGCAGGGCTTTGGGGCAGAGGGGAATAGGGATTGCAAACATCTGAGTTTGAAATGAAGGAGTGAGTGAGTGGGCAGAGGGAGGAAGGTAAGGCTGGAGAAGTCCATTGAGGACCTATCATAGTGCCTTGTGACCATTGGTGAGAAATTTAGGTTTTATGTTAGTAACTTGTTGGGAAAACCGGAGGGATTGATCACAGGATACAAAGAAATTAGTCTCAAGAAACATCCTTATGAGTGGAAGCAAGCGCCTCACCCCAAGCAAGACGGGTTTCTGAAGCTGGCAGGCTATGTATGTCTTGCTACATACTGTGAAAGGGACACCCTTTGAGACCCCTCACCAAGGACAGGTTCTGCTGCCTACACATTGGGAACAGATGGACTATGGGCTCCAATTTACCTCTGCCTGCAAATTCCTCAGTGGCTCTCCTTTTGTACTCGACCTCCTAGCCAGCTTCTACACCTAGCATAATGCAGCTCACTTCCTCGTCAACACAGCCTCATTGCTCAGCATACTGCTGCCTTAAGTTGCCCCATTTCTGTGGGGTTCATCTCTTTGACATCAACAAATTCTGAGGGATGTCTTCACATTGGAAGAAAGGGTTGTCACATTCTTCCCTTCTCGTGTCGACTATATCTTAAAAGCCTGAGAACTATACCACATTTCTCAAATATCCAGGAAGAGAATAGATTGAAAAATGGGGCCCTGGAAAGAGCAGGTTTCTTTGAATCAAGAAAGGCAGGTGAGATAAGTGGCAAATCACTCTCCTCTGCAGCAGAAAGCTGTCTGGGCAGTGTGTTTGGTGATTGAGTTTTTCCATATCTTCCACCACCACCACCTTCCTGCTATTTTGCTGTGTATTTTCCTTATAATAAAGTTGTTTAAAAAAACAACAACAAAAAAAACCATCCCATATTCTTTTTTTTTTTTTTTAAGTTTTTTTTTTTTTTAAAGATTTTTATTGGGGAATTGGGGGGATGGGAACAGTGCTGGGGAATTGGGGGAAGGGGAACAGACAAGTTGCTGTTGTTTTGT